TACTGCATAGTCAATTTTTTTGTGTGTGTGAGGAAGATTGGCTCTGAGCTAACATCTGTGCCCATCTTCCTCTATTCTGTATATGTGATGCCACCACACATGGCTTGACAAGCGGTACGTCGGTCTGCACCCTGGATATGAACCTGGGAAGCCCAGGCCGCTGAAGCAGAGCACACAAACTTAACTGCTACACCACCAGGCCGGCCCCATAGTCAACTTTTTAATGAAAGATTTTATAAACAGGTAACTACAGGCCATGGGCTATATTTGAAGCCCAATTTCACTGCTATACCAGTGGCTTCTGTATATAGTCTCAGAGAGATTTAAAGGAGAGAACTGATTTAGCAGGAGTCACATTTCAGTATAAGAAATTCTATTTAAATATGTGTATCTCCTCTCATTACCAACCAAAAAGAATTGCTTCAGTGTCACAATACGGATTTGTAAGTCCAGAGGGAAATTCTTATGTCTCTCTAAAAGTACAAAGCTTCAGTAAATTATGTAAAGGAAGAAAGAAAGAAAAGTATAAGCTCAAGTGTTTGAGCAAAATACTCCAGAAGTCTTGATGGGTACATTTCTGAGAACAGCATCCATCAATTGAAAAGTGAATAAAGGAATAGTAAAAGGGGAAACTTTTCATAGTAGCACATCATAAAGGAGAACGCCCTTAGGAATACTAAATTAGGTTCCTGATGAATCCCAAAGTTACTCAAATTAAGAAAGCATTTTACTAGGTAATAACTGCTTTAAACCAAATTTTCCTGGCTGGTGATTTAAATCATGATTGAAAATAGATTGAAATCAAATGCATCCAAATTCTACTCTTAAGGGTGGCACTATGATTTAAAATAAATAGCAGAATGTCACTGGTAGTACTGACATATTTATTCACAACTAATTTTCCAAAAAAGTCTATAAAAGATATTTTATAGTAGTCAACTATTCTTTATGGAGTTTGATCAAAATGTTGCTAAAGAAGGCCCAGTAATATACTAATCCACAGAAGACTCAGATGGGGTACACAATGTTCACAACCACCAAACCAAGTTGTAATTATGAGACACCATGACAAATTTCATATTTCTGATTTTTGACTCTCAATAAAAGTTTGCTTAACAAAATGATGTTGTTAGTGTCCAATTTCACCTTAATAACTCTATTAATAAAATTTGTTTTCATATCACAAAGACATATCTCCGTAAAAGAAAGACATCATCTAACAATACGATACTTAAGTTTTAAAAATTTGGGGGGAAAACTAATAAAAACAAGAAAAATCTGTATCGATGTTTAAACTACAAAATATTCTTAGAAACCAAATTTATAAATGTAAAACATTAAAAATTAAAGTCATTAAACCTTCTTGATAAAATCTAAGACAAGGCTCAGTCTGTGTCTTTCTGACATTAACCTTTCATACAGTGTCGTAAGGAAAGGCATCTTTTAGAACCTATGTACTCCTGATACCCTTCCTCAGGTTAGGTCTCTCTTATTCAGCAGATTAATAAAATGAACAGATCAATTTATGACATTATAAGACAAATTCTAATTATAATCATTTAAATCTTCCAGGAATTTCCAGAACTGTACTTAATTAGCTGCTTTTGAAAAAAAGGTTTTCAGAATTATGTAATTTCATATCTTTTTTCTCAAAAGTCTTATAAAAGTTTTTCCTCATTATTAGGTTCATTAATTCCTGCTTGAGCATTCCTTTCTCTCCTGTTTTTATTCTTCCCAGTTTACAAAATGCTCCTTTACCACTATTGTACTTATTCTCCTTGGTTTGTACTTTACAAATGTATGCTTTATAGTCTACCAATATTTATATAATATTGATATTTTCAAAGTGGTTTAAAAAAGAAGATTTTTACGCATAAAGAAGCAGAAGCACATGGGTCGTTATTTTCTCTTATGTGACAAAGGATCTAGGTTATTTAGCACAAGCTAAAATACTTGTCAAATACAATGACAACAAGCTAACATACAGGTCCTAATCAAATTGTTTGTAAGTCTTTTTTCCTTTCTCTCCACCCACATGTTTTTGTTTTTCTTTTTCAAAACATTTGGAAAGAGACAGCTAATGAAACCATCATAGAAATAAATTTAATTAATAAATTTTGTGGTTTTATTAAATATAATTCTAAATAAATAGATGAAATGCTGATGTGGGAAAGTAAAGAAGACAGAGAGAGAAAAGAAGGAATCAATCTTTTACTAACGACAGATTTCTGGCCTAATCAGAGAAAAACAAGGCACAGAAAATTCTTTCAGTTCTCTTGAGCTATTTTCTAGGAAAGTTTAAGCAACAGCATATCACTTTATCTCAAACACTATATCTCACCATCAATAATTACAGATTACTACCAAAGTGAGGATAGTGTGCTGCTAAGAGTCAAGGTGCTATGGTCAGTGGACTTGAATTAGAAGCCTAACTCTGCAATTTACTAGCTCTGTGATCAGAAGCCTTCATCTGTATAAATGGGATAATAAAAGCACCTATTTCATGAGGTTATTATGAAAATTAAATGAGATAACGCATGTCAACTACTTAGCAAAATTTCTGACATACATATTTAAAATGTTAGATGCTTATTATTATTATGTCCACTGTAAGTAAAGAATTTTGTTCATACCTCATGCAGACTAATCATATCATTACTCTACTTGAAACTTCATTGGCTTCTCACTACCTTTAGAAATAACTCCAAACTCCTCGAGCCAGCCCTGATGGCCTAGCGGCTCAAGTTCAGTGCACTCTGCTTGGGCGGCCAGGGTTCGGTTCCCAGGCACGGAACCACACCACTTGTCTGTCAGTAGCCATGCTCTGGTGGCAGCTCACATGGAAGAAGCAGAAGAATCTAGAACTATACACAACTATGTACTGGGGCTTTGGCGGGGAAAAAGGAATAAAAAAAAAGGAGGAAGACCAGGCAATAGATGTTAACTTAGGGCGAATCTTCCCCTGCAAAAAACAATTAAAAAAAAAAAAGAAAGAACTCCAAACTACTTAACATAATTTATAAGGTACTCCAATAATCATCTCTCATTATTCCTCTTACCCTCTAAACCAAGCCCCATTAGACTTCAGTTCCTCCAATATGCCATATCCCCCTCGCTTGCCTCCAAGTTGTGCCATATAAAGTTCCTTTTGCACGCAGCATTCTTTCCTGTCTCTTCCTTCCTTCAATGTATAAACATCACTTCTTCTGAGCCCTTCCTGACATGCTGGCTAGTCTAGATTAACCAGCTTAATGTTCATGGAAATCTCTTGCAACTAGAGTATGTCAAGACTGAAGAGGAAAGCCAGCACGCTGAGGCTGGCCTGCTACAAGGACAAAAAGGGCCTGGGTCTGCTTACCTCCAAACTGTTTGTAATATCAGCAATAAATGTACTCATGATTTAAGCTAGATGTTGACAAACTACAACCCTTGGGCCAAATCTAGCCAGCTGCCCATTTTCGTAAATAAAGTTTTACTGGAACACAACTATGCCATTTATTTAGTGTTATCTGTGGCTGCTTTCATGCCAAAAGTGCAGTGCAACAGAGAGATATGGCCTAGAAAGCCTAAATTATTTATTGTCTAGCCCTTCACAAAGAAAGTTTGCTACCCCTGGTTTAAGCTACTGTTAGTTTTTGTTACATATGGCCAAAAACATCCTAACTCACACCATGTTTCCATAGCTTCCCATTGAAACATTCATCTGATTTCACTGTAATTACTTCCCTTCTATATATGCTTATTTTGCCACTTACACGAAATCTCCAAGTAGGAGTGGTTTACCATTATGTCCCTATTACCTAACACAGTACTTGACAAATAGAAGGTATTCAAATATTGTTGACTAAAAAGTGAACAAATGAATTAGCATATCTGATCAACAGCCAGTAAATATTTATTAACAATTAACATGTACATGAGTAATACAAAAGAGTATAAGACACATTCTCTGCCCTAAATAGTTTAAAAATCAGGTTTAGGAAATAAAAATGTAAGCTTTAAAAAAAAGATAAATTATTTCTGGAGCAAAGCAGGGTGCATCTGTACATATATAAATACTACCATATTAAATGTATACACAGACAAAAAAAATCCTGATTTTAAGTCACACTAAAAGGTAAAAATTTGTGAGTCCTCAGTACTAACCAGGAGAGAGGGTACTCTGACATAACACCACCCTGTACTATGGTCCATTAAAACCATGGAGGTGACTGAATCGGGGTACTCACAACTTTTTGGCATCAGTACCCAGGGTTCTTCAACTGACACCTCTCATTTTGACCTTGCCATCGCCTTTGTTGAGATTTAAGAAATAATGACAAATACAACATTATCATCTTGTGAACCTGTCACCCAGGAACCTGTCACCCAGGAATCACTTAAACACAATCAACTCTGAGTGATGGAAGAGTCTCACCTATAAAGCTGGCCCACATCTTCAAGATTAAGGTCACCATATCAGAACCTTTCTTGAAACCATCTGACCTCCTCTCTTTATTCCTGCTCTCATTTTTCTTACCTTTAAAATGCCCTCCAATAATGCTTTACGTAATATCAATTTTATACAACTGTGTAAATACTATTCTAAAAAAGTAAAACTTGGTGAGATGAAAGCAAAAATCTAATGACCAGTAAAAATCACAGTCACACTTCTCACAGCCATGTAATATCTAAAGTATAAACCAAAAGAAGAAGGTGGAAAAGAAAGGAACAAGCAGCAAGGCAGTTCCTTGATTGACATAATTTATTTGTCCTCTTAGCCCATATTTTCCAGTCTCAGAAACCCACTCTACATCCTCTCTTCAAATCTATCATCCTCCTGACTTTCTCCCTTTATCAACAGATTTCCCCGATACCCTCTCTGATTCTTATTCTGTTCTACCAACTGTGGCTGACTCAGCCTCTCTTACCATCTAAAAAAAATCTGAGAATGAAAATTTAGTTTGAATATTGCCATGGAATCACTGAGTCATCACTGCTTAAAATTTGCTTCAACTTACCCCCGTTTGATGTTGTGCAATTCCTTGTCCTTGCCTTTATCCTTCTCTTTTTCTTTTTTCTCCTTATCTCTGCCTTTACGTCGTTCTCTGTCCCGAGACCGACTACGGGTTCTTCTGTGACTGGACCTTTCGCTGCTTCGACTATGGGAACGTGGACGAGGTCTTGACCTGGACCTATAGTAAGCAGATTTTATTAAATACATTTAGTGTACACTCTGCATTATGAAATGAAAATATCCTTAAAAATTATCTGAAAGAAAAGGATTTTGTTTTAGTTATGGATTCAAAAATTAAATAGCTGTGAAGCGAGAAGCTAAATATGATTACTAATGAATAAGTACTCTCAGTTAAGATGATATATGAGGGAATTATATGTTGTGAACTCTACAAGAAACTAAGGTTTAGTCAAAAAGTATTTGCAAGTTAAAGTCTTAATGGTTCAAATCAAGTCTTGATTACTCAAGTCTCTCAGATAATACAGCAACTCTAAATGTATCTAATCTAATTTCCAAGGATAGGGTCTTCCCTATCCCTACAATCTCTGCTTCCATATCTATTCAACCTTATTTCTAACTGTCACAATAAAACTATTCCTCTACTCTACTCTAATCCAGCTATTCTTTGTATTAAATGAATGCCAGTATTAGGTAGGATATACTATGTGCTTTTTAAAAAGTAAAGTATTTCAGGGGCCGGCCTGGTGGCGAAGCGGTTAAGTTTGCGTGTTCTGCTTTGGTGGCCGGAGGTTCGAAGGTTTGGATCCGAGGCGCGGACTGACGCACCACCTGTCAAGCGATGCTGTGGTGGTGTCTCCTATAAAGTAGAGGAAGATGGGCACGGATGCTAGCCCAGGGCCAATCTTCCTCAACAAAAAGAGGAAGACTGGCATCAGATGTTAGCTCAGGGCTAATCTTCCTCACCAAAAAAAAGTAAAGATTTCAGAACCTGCCTTACAGTATTGACAGGAAAGCCTCTACCAGACTGATGATCCAACCATAAGTATAAAAAACAACTATGTGAAGACACTGCACAGTAACCAAAAGAAGGCAGATTCTATAGGGAGCCAACACTCAGAAGAAGGAAACAGTAATAAGAAAGTTTCCCATTTTATCAGCTTCTTTTCTGAGGGAAGCCCAAGTCTGTGCCATGCAGGACAGCTAAAACTCCAACAGAAAACTTTAGGATGTCTGGCCTGAAAAACCAGAAGAAAGACTCAAGGCAACACTGCAAAAGAAAAATGAAAGGAGAACCCTGGAAAAGAGTCAGAGGAGGAAGCCAAAAATTCTAGATGTAAACTCTCTTCAAATCTCTAGCTGACCCATACATTATGCATATGAAGAGCAGACTCCAAATAGCCAAGGATAAAAGAATTGAATTAAAATTTCAACTGCCCCCAAAGAGATAGGACTTTTCCAATTTTAATTCAACTAACAATTTTCTGCTAAAACAAACAAACAAAAAAATCAATATTCTTCAGAGGAATATAACAGAATCCAGAGAATGCAAAACCTGACATTCACCATGTCCAGGATAATGTCTAAAATTACTAGATATAAAACAAAATATGAAAAATGTGATCCATTCTCAAGAGAAAAGAGAATCAATGAAGACTAACCTTGAGGTGAACCAAACGTTGGAATTAGCAGGCAAGGGTTACAAAGTTTTAAGTATAACTACATTTGTAATGAATATAAAGCTAAGAAATCTCAGGAAAAAAACTATAAAATGGGGCCAGCCTGGCGGTGTAGTGGTTAAGTTCGCACACTCCACTTTGGTGGCCTGGGGTTCGCAGGTTCGGATCCTGGGCACGGACTGATGCACCGCTCAACAAGCCATACTGTGGCAGTTGTCCCATATATAAAATAGAGGAAAATGGGCACAGATGTTAGCTCAGGGCCAATCTTCCTCAGCAAAAAGAGGAGGATTGGCAACAGATGTTAGCTCAAGGCTAATCTTCCTCACCAAAAAAAAACAAAAAAATAAAACAAAAAAAGAACTATAATTAAAAAAACAGAAATTCTATAACTGAAAAATATAATATCTGAAATTAAAATTATGCTGAATGAGATTAAAACAATGTGTGTACTTGAAAATAAATCAATTGAAATTATCTAATCTGAAGAAATAAGAGGAAAAAAAAGATTATTAATAAGAAAAGAAAAACAGATCCTCTGGGATCTGTGTGACAATGTTCAAATTTTTAACATGTTTATTTAAACCCAGAAGTAGAGAAAATAATGAGACAGAAATTTTTTTTTAAGCAGTGGCCAAAATTTCCCCTAATTTCGTGAAAGACAAATTACAGATTCTAGAAGTTTAGTGAACCTCAAGATATATATGAAGACCATGACTAGTAACACCATAGTCAAACTTATGAAAACTAAAATTAAAGAGAAATCTTGACAGTATTCAGGGAAAAAAAATGACACCTTACATACAGGAGAGCAATGATATGAATTACTGATGGCTTCTCATCAGAAACAATGGAGATTAGAAGACAGTGATCAAAATTCTTAACATGGTGGGGAAAAAAAGTCAACCCAGAATTTTATATCCAGCAAAAATATCCCTCAAAAATGAAAGTAAAATAAAAACATTTTTGAGATAAAGGAAAAATAAACTATAATCATCAACAGCGGATCTGCAATACACTAAGTACTAAAGTAAGTTCTTCAGGCTGAACAGAATGATAGAGAATGATAATAGATAGAAACTTGGATCTTTGGGAAAAAAATGAAGGCCACTGGAAACGGTAAATGTATGAGGAAATATGAAAAACTACTTTCCTTAATTTATTTAAAAATACATATCGGTGCTTAAAGTAAAAATTACAATGTTTCACTGTAAGGTTTAAAATGAAGGTAGATATAATACACACAATCTCTATAGAATAAAGAGATTAAATATATGGGGCAGGTAAATGGACCCATACAGTTATAAGGTTTCTACAGTTCATGTGAATGATGAAATAGTAACTCTAAGTACACTGAAATGGTAAGGGCATATATGTAATCTTTCAAGCAATGACTTAAAGAAAAAAAAGGAAAAAAATGCAAAGAAGTATGAACTTTATAAAAGGGAATTCTTTAAAATATTCATGAATCCAAAAAGAGGCTGGAAAAGAAACACAAAGAAACAAAAACCAGAGGGACAAACATAAAATAAATAATAAAACGATAGAATTAAATCCAAATATACCAATAAATACATTCAATATTAATGGACTAAATACTTTAATTAAAAAGCAGAGCTTGTCCAAATGAACTAAAAAGCAACACACATACACTGTCTACAAGACATGTACTTTAAATGTACATGTACAGTAAATGTCATGTACAGACAGAGATATGTTGAAGTAAATGGCTAAAAATAGATATATCATGCAAACAGTACAGGAAGGCTGGAATAAATATATTAATATCAGATAAACTAGATTTTAAAAACAAGAGTATCATCCAAAACAAAAATGGGTATTTCATGATGATCAAAGGGTCAATTCATAAGTAGAAATCAAACAAAATATGTTTATCTGACCAAAACAGAATTAAATTAGATTTTAGTAACAATAAAACATCTGGAAAAAACCCAAATATATAGAAATTAAATAATACTCTTCTAAATAATTCATTGGTCTAGTAACAAATCACAAGAGAGATTAGAAAAAAAATATTTTGAACTGAATGACAATGAAAATACAATATACGAGAAGTTATGGGATGCAGCTAAAGCAATGTTTGGAGAAAAATTTATAGCTTTAAATGTTTATATTAGAAAAGAAAGGTCTAAAATCAATTATCTAAGGTTCCACCTTAAGAAGCTAGCAAAAGAAGGGCAAAGTAAACCCAAAGTAGACAGAAAAAAGAAAACATTAAAGAGCAAAACTCAATGGAATAGAAAGCAATAAAGAAAATTAACAAAGCCAAAATCTGGTTCTCTGAGAATATTAACAAATTTGGTAAATCCCTAGTTAGACTGATCAAGCAAAAAAGGAAAAAGCAAACACTAATTACCAACAAAAAAGAATGTGGATGATAGAGAGATCGCATGAACTAGTCCTGGGTATTTAGGACATATGTAGGTCTTGAAGAGAGTTACATGGGTTTAAGCGGTAGTAATGTCTGTCCTCTTTCATCCCTAACTCGTTCACTCAGTGAATGAAGAGTAATATCATATCTTAAGATCACAAACTTTTTTTTAATATGTGATTTTGTGAAGTTACAAAATTAACTGCTAGGAACGTCAACATGGGTTTATCATCCTAATTTACAAAAATTAAATTTCTATCATTTTCCTTGAAGTTTGACTACTCTCTCTCTCAATTTTGACATATGACTTCTTTCCACATAAAGTTTTAATTTCTCATGATAATTTATAGCCCCTGCAGATGTTACCTTATTCATTTCTTATTAAATCTTCTATTATATGTGGATATATAAAATTTTAACAGATTATGATAGAATTTAAAGTCTTCTGATTAAAAGAAAGTAATAAGACAAAAATGGAAGGGAGTCTTTTCTGTGATAACCTCAGTCACTATACATAAATTATGTGTATACAGACATACAGTATATTATCCTAATTTGCTTCTACATTGTTCAGGACCAAAATATGATTCTGGCGATTAGTTTTCACTTAACTAGTGAAAATGCAGAGTAACAAAAGACAAGTGAGTTAAATGTTAGTTTAAACTCTAACAACAAAACTCTAAGAGCTTCTTTTTTGTAATAAGTCTTTAAAGTAAGATCATCTCTTAGTGATTTGCCCCTTTGTGTCAAAAAACATACTGTTGAACAAAATGTGCAACTGTCTGTGGATTATGGATGAGGTGGATTTTAGTGAAATCATGTTTTTACTGTATCTTAAAAACTAAATGTATTTGCTATTAATATACCCAAAGTTATAGAAGTATTAAGTTAAAAAATAAAGACTACCTCATATAATGGTATCCTCAAACAAGTTATCTCCTCTCTGGGCATCTATTTCCTTACCTACAAAATGAGGATAATAACTACCTTTCAGTGTTACTATACAGATTAAATAATAGTACCTAACTTAACTGTAAGATAGAGGACAAGTGATTTGGGAGGAGGCAGATGCTCAGAAAGAAGTAACTGAAGGATGTACTAATCTGAATGAATGAGTAAAATCGGAATCGGAAGCATATGAAATATGTT